TAATGGAACAAATGCCTAGTTTTTGGAATTTTCCTGCGAAGTGGCCCATCACTGAGTACCCGCCATTAACAGGCCCATCACTGGGTCTTTTACCCTACAAGGTTTGGGGAATGTATGTGCTTTAAGAAATTAAAAAAACTTTGATTTAAAAAAAAAAGACAGAACATGCAGCAGACACAAATCGATAGAATACCATTGGATGGTCCCAATATATCAGCTCTTCCTAATGGGATACAATTCTGCTTGGGAACAAAGGGGTTAAGCTATTCTATTCCAATAAATTAATCTCAACAATGTCCTATTCATATTTTCATGTTAAGTGGAACATTCCTATTAAGTGGTAGTCCATTAAGTGGAATAGACAGCATTACCTATCCCAAGAAGTGAAAAAGGGAGATATGGGGGTCGGTATGAAAATAATGCCTGCTCATTTTTTTCTCAATAAACTTTCAAGCAAAAATGATGAAATTGGGCTGGAAAATAGACCAAGCACTTTGATATACATGGCTATTTCTCCATGTAGTTCCCATCACGTTCAACACTCTTTCTAGCGCTCAAGAAGGGCATATATACCATCTCTGTAAAAAATTCCTTTTCCTTCATTGTCATCTTGGAAGTTCTGTACCATAACCCATCTTTACAAGGGCCAAACAGATGGTAGTCAGACTGTGCCAAATCCCAATAGCAGGTTGGGTCATAATGGTGCACCCACGTCTCGCCACCAGATATGCAAGAGAGAAATGCTTCACCTTTGGCTTCAAAATGCTCAAGCATTTCAGCCTGTGTGGTTTGCCAGTTTTGTTTGTGAATGTCCATCAGCATTCGAGGCACCCACAGAGCAAACAATTTGGAGTAGCCAAGGTTGTGGATGATCTTGATGATTGTAAAGTCTTCTGATTCCTACAGATTCGCATAACTCTTGTATGGTGAAGCTAATTGTTGTGAATCAGTTCATCCAGTCTGGGAATCTTCCCTGGTGGTACTGCTGAGGAAGGGCAACCACTGTGTGGCAGTCTTTCAAGTCAGTTTTTCCACTCTTGGCACTCTTGCCCACCCTCTCACTATGCTCACATCAACGGTAGAGGTCCCATTAATGTCTTCCAGTTGCCAATGAATGTTTTCCCTCTGCAGTCAGTAATTCAATGGCAATCTGCTTTGTATGTACATCAAGGGCAGCAGTCATTGTGAATGGGTGCAATGGTGCTTCCAAATGATACCTTTCTGAAAAACTGACATAGCAAGGATGGCAAATATAAATCTTCACCTAGGAATTTTTTTGGCAGTCTTCCATGCATGAGTTGGGGGGAAAAATTAAAGAGGCATTACTTTCATACTGATCCTTGTATAATTTTCTCGTAAGACCTAACACTTGCTAGACCCTGTCTAAAACTGCTTTACAATCAGCTTCACAGCAGTAGGAATAATCTTTTTACATAGTTAGGAGTCAGAAAGCAAGATGTAAGGTACATTTCTTGCTTTCACATGAAAAAAGGAGGCTAACATAGGATGGATCTGCATTATGCCTTAACCATTGCTTTCACGATGCTTTCACGAAGTCTGCATAAAAGGACATGTAATTTAGAGGAAGGGAGAAGAACTTGGATAAGTTGGATGGTTGGACTTCTATGATATGAGATGAAGACAGAGATGAGGATAGAAGATATCCAGGGATTCAATCTGATTCTAATTGCCTACACATGAGGGAGAGTCCAACTCCAACTACTGTCTCAAGTAGGAACAGGAGCATTCAAAATGAAGAGCCATTATAATATCATACCATAGTGGCAATGCCAATCAGCAGGGATGTAAGTATCTTTGGATTATGTTTAGCAGAGTTAGCAGGACTTACGGAGAGGGGCAATGTGATGGGTGCAACGAGATGCAAAGTATAAGCCGCTCCCATACAGGAAGAAAAGGCACATTCCAAACAGACACATGAGGAAACCCACAAAAAATTTGTGGTTCCCAGCACCTGAAATCAGAATAAAACATCTGAGTAAAATTACTGAGGTCTCCGTACCTCAACTAGGAGGCAAAAGCAGAGACAACAATGAAAAAAGTGTACAACTCAAAGATGGTTCTGAGGTTTTATTTAAATCTGAGTTCAGCACCTATTTATTCAGCATGAATGAATGAATAGAAAGATTTGTACATCAGTGTCACAAGCATATAAAAATTAATTGAACTCAAGAGAAAGAACTGTAATTCTAGGTCTGCTATGGAAAGAGTGTTGGGTAGAGAAACTAAGATGAAAGACTTACCAACACAGTTATTGACCCATGGACAATGATGATCAAATTTAGCAATGCAATGATTGCAGACACTGCAATGCTTGGATCTTTGAGGTTTCTTCACCAGGCAGGTGCTGCAAAACCAGTGTGGCTCAAATCCTTTTCTCTCAGCCAACTCTATTATTGTCTTCATCCAATGAAAAAAAACCACAAAAGATATCAGGCATTAGTCCTATTGAACTGCATTCCCTGCAGAAGATGATGACTTTTGACCTACCAAATTTTCCTGATATAACAGAATTCATAATGATTCTATATGCATTCTTCTATCAAAAATTCTTCTATTTAGGGATTCTTGAGTCAAAAAAAGCCTCCAAGAAGTTCTAGATTTTTTTACATAAAATTATATACAGACATTTCACTGTAGTTTTCAAAAACATGTATAACATCAGGTACAAAGAGTACAATGAGAACAAAAGGTTAAGGCTTGCTGAGTGCTGCCACCTCAAACTCAGAAAGGCTGTGGTTCAACAGAAACAGCACAGGAAGCTATGAGCAGTCAAATACAGGGTGATCCCTGAATCCCAAATGCAAAAACATCTTCAGTACCATGGGATAAAATAAAAACTTCATTTAACCCTTCAAGCAGTTTTCACGTACACCATATGTTCATCACTTTGGTTGAGTCAAAACTCAGCTGAAAGGTTAACCCATATGCTGACCTTTTTTTTCACCTTAACAGTTGCTGTGAATGACCATTTAATTTGCAAAAAATTTAATCAATCATGCAAACATCACATCCAGTAGTCATCCAGGGAATTCCTTTAGTGTGAATGCACTTGCTTTTTCTCATACATGCATATAAATTTGTCTGGCAGATGGGCTGGTCAGGCAAGGCCTCATATAATGAGCCTGTCTCTCAGACAGGTAAGTCAGCAGATGGGTTAAGGTATGCCACCATGAATATCAATGTTTACACATCATCAACATTTCATGCACTATCAGCCCAATCTCTAGTAATTGCAATAAATTTTCAAAGTGGCTTCCTTACTACAGGTCCCAAATGACCGGAAAGAATCAATATCTACATTAATTTCTGCCCCATCCAGATGTTCCCAGGCTTCTTTTACATGCTAGGCAAATTTTAATTTTGAATTACTTTCATTAAGTTGATTGGTTGTTAAAAAGACCATATGATATTCATCACATACACACACACTGAATGTGTGACCACCACATTATTTCTGTTATGTTAACACTAATACTAGACTCCTTATGGTCCATGGTATTAAGTAAATCCATCCATAGATATGTCTTTGTTTAATTTCTTCTTCATTTTTTCTGATTTTTCCTATCTATTTGGAATGTGAGACATTGATAGAAACTTACTAGCAAGAAGGTTCAGATACAAGAAGTCATGATGTAATGGTTGCATAGGGGCACAGAGCTGTTATTCCAAATACTACAGGTGTTATAAATAAACATTTTGTCAGGGCAAGGTTAATTTCAAAAAGGATAGTTAATGGAAATTACCATTTCATTTAGTGATATAAGGTCCATCTGCATTAATGATATCCTGGCAGTGTGCTAGCAGTTTGTCCGAGCACCTGCAATGCAGCCTGTTGAACCTAATTGCTGCTGGTAAAAGTCATCCCACAAAGGTCAGATTTCAACCAGACAAACAGAAATCTATCGCAGAGGTTGAGGTCTGAGCTATAAGGGCTTCACCAGAGGGTTTGGACATTCCAGTGTTCCATAAATTTGCAAACTAAGGAAGCAATATGAAGTTGCACACAGGTCCATTTGCCATCAGAGCTCACTCAGCTCAATAGCTTTTGAGAAAAGAATTCACCAGAAGTTGCCAGACCACCAAAGAAACTCTAGTATGCATTCCACATCTACTGTGATGCCATTAGGAAGGGTGGTCACTGAAAAGTGCATATTCGGTATGAATGCCACAAGCAGGAGTGCTTTTTTGTTGTTGGCTGAGATAAATAGGGTTAGGTTAATAGAAACCCTCTTTGGCTTTCTCAAACCACCAACACACTGTTTTTTCCACTAAGGGAAAGACCATCCAATGCCTTGCAAAGTTCTTCAGAAACATCAGCAGTAGTGGCTCCAAGTTTGTAACATGTAAAGCAAGAAATCAAAAGTCAGATTTTTGTAGATTCATTGCTCATTGCACCCATAACAAGATGCAAACTTGAGTATCTTTTTGAACCTATTCTGCTTAAGCTACTGTAGCAGTCACAGGGCACAGTCAGTCAGATCTATGGAAACTATTAAATTAAAGCCAATAAAAAACCTAAACCTCAATATACCCAAATTCTGGTTATATGTTATTTCAACCCTTCTGAAAACCAGTTTTGTGCCTATTCATAATTGAGTGGGAGTGGTCAAGACATGATTCAACAAAACAAAAACAAAAAAATGTATTTTCAGAAATTATTCAAAAAAATCAAAGAAAATAAAAAGTTTCCAGAAACTGGGATAAAAAATGCTCTTCTACATGTTAATTAAATGAAAGAATGCAAAATCCTGATTGGTATTCTCAAACAAAACAAAATGAAACAACTGGTTCAACTCTTTATAGTCCCTACCAGTTACAAAGGGCTTGTACCTATTCTCTGACAAAACCTGCCAAGTTCCAGAAAGAACTCGTGCCTTCAAGATATAGGTGAAACTATCAACTATCTTTCCCTATATAAGTTGTGGAGGTGGAAAGGTGGTCAGTCTTATGACACCCATGATCAAGAAGGGCCCAAGTAACCCAGTCAAATTGCTACTGATTTGAGTTTCAAACTTCTGCTCTCCGGTCAACCCCAGAGTGAGAGATGGAGGGATCTTGACTGGGAAACTCATTGGATTGGTGACTGAGTTAGACAGAAGGGATCTCATTAGAGGGACTTTGGACTCAATTCCACACAATGAAGTTATGAAATGGAAGTCGTTTGGAGAGTCAATCACTAAAATGATGTGCCCTCTCCAACAAGTAGGCCGACCCTGAATATTGGGTTCACTTCATATTTAAATGTATTGTCTCATGGTCTCCTCTTTCTCCAGCTTCCTCCCTGTCTCGGCTCTCTACCAATGCATGGACCAACACCAAGGGAATGGCCAATATACAAGGGGGCTTCAAAAAGTTCGTGGAAAAATGACATTAAAAAATAACAGTGAAAGATATAAACTTTATTTCTCAACATAAGCTCCATCAAGTTCAAGACACTTTTGTAAGCGATGATACCAGCCATTTAGTCCATCCCGAAAGAACTGTGGGTCCTGGGACTTTAACCATGTCAATGCAGTCTTTTTTGCATCATCAACTGAAGAAAAATGGGTGCCCTTTAAAGATTTTTTAAGATTAGGAAACAAAAAGAAGTCAGAAGGAGCCAAATCAGGACTGTATGGTGGATGCCTAATGATTTCCCATCGAAACTCTCGCAAAACTGCCCTCGTTTGATGAGAGGAATGAGCAGGAGCATTGTCGTGGTGGAAAAGGACTCTCTGGTGAAGCTTTCCCGGGCGTTTTTCTGCTAAAGCTTTGGCTAACTTTCTCAAAACACTCTCATAATAAGCAGATGTTATAGTTCTTTGGCCCTCCAAAAAGTCAACAAGCAAAATGCCTTGAGAATCCCAAAAAATTGTTGCCATGACCTTTGCTCTTGACCGGTCCGCTTTTGCTTTGACTGGACCACTTCCACCTCTTGGTAGCCATTGCTTTGATTGTGCTTTGTCTTCAGGATCGTACTGGTAAAGCCATGTTTCATCCCCTGTTACAATTCTTCGAAGAAATGCTTCAGGATCTTGATCCCACTTGTTTAAAATTTCCATTGAAAGATCTGCTCTTGTCTGCAGCTGATCTGGGCGCAACAGTTTCGGGACCCATCGAGCGGAAAGTTTGCTCAACTGCAATTTTTCAGTCAGAATTGTGTAAGCTGAACCAACACTCTACAGATCCCACAACCGATAACGAAGACGACAATTAGCAGCCAGCAGAAGTTAATCCCGCGCTTGTCGTAGTTAAAAAAGGAGTGTTTGACTTCACCTACCAGACGGTGACGCTCGCAGTAGATCAACATCATCGCGTCCATTCAATTTTGCTCAATAGGTAAACATTTGACGGCTAAAGAAGCCCCGTAACAGGGGTATTTGAAAAGGATTTCGTAGTTACTAAAGTGGTAAGAAGGTGGGTTCGAAGTGGTACTTAAACTACAAACAAGTTGCTTCGATTTTAGCAGAATTCATGTTGCTCTAATGGGGGCTCTCTTCAAACTGACGTCTTCTCCTTCCTAATGCCTAAAGTCGGCTCCTGTTCAGGCATGTTATAACACGTTAGTAAGAGTTTCTTTTTGTGCAAAGAGATTGAAATCCACGCATATTTAATGGGGGCTCTCTTCAAACTGACGTCTTCTCCTTCCTAATGCCTAAAGTCGGCTCCTGTTCAGGCATGTTATAACACGTTAGGAAGAGTTTCTTTTTGTGCAAAGAGATTGAAATCCACGCATATATTCTTTTCAAGCTACACATTTTCCACGAACTTTTTGAAGCCCCCTCGTATAGCATGACTGACTAGTTAAAACCAGTTGTCCAGTGAAATTTCAACTGCTTGCAATTCCTGGAGGTATATAAGGAGTGGGACAATTTGTTCGAAAACCCGAACCGAACTCGTATTCCAAACAACATGTAACTTCGGATTATCCGGAGTACTGTACTGTGTCCGGATGTCTGTCCGGGACAATGCACTGTTAAGATCATAGAAATTCAAAGTCTTATCCAGTTGGAATTTGTAGCATCAGTAAATGATCCTTGGCATCACCGTATGCCTAGTGTTTGATTACAGCCTAGTGTAGACACATTAAATGGAATGATGGTCTTAGCACCATTAATCAATATGGCATAGAAGGATTTCCCACCATATCCGGCCTTGTGAACATGGACATGTGTTTCCTGCTGCTCTGGGCAGCTGTCACTAATACAAAAGAGGTGTGAGAGGGTGAGAACTCTGCCCAAGTGATTGCAGTAAGATCACACAGATCCTTTTTTCAATTGAAATGAGTGTGGCAATGCATCTGATCTTGTTGCTATTTTGTCCACATTTTTGCTGTGATATAAATATGTTCATATATGTTCATTGTACATTTCATGATTCTTCCCAATTCCTTTCACAATCATTGCCGCTGCCCAGTTTTTCCTCCTACCTGAACTCTTTTGCTCTAATTTCCCACAAACCAGGCTTGCAAGCTTGCCAACTTTCTAGACTGGGAGGTTTAAGCTAATAATATAAAGTCCCTGCTTTTAATCACTATTACCTATGAGAGCTGCTTAATGGGGGCTCTCTTCAAACTGACGTCTTCTCCTTCCTAATGCCTAAAGTCGGCTCCTGTTCAGGCATGTTATAACACGTTAGTAAGAGTTTCTTTTTGTGCAAAGAGATTGAAATCCACGCATATATTCTTTTCAAGCTACACATTTTCCACGAACTTTTTGAAGCCCCCTTGTATATGGGTGGGCTAAAAAAAAAAACCAGTTATCATTTTTGGTGAGTTGTCAATCTGATTGTAGGCTGCCAATTCTGATGAAATTTGGTGGGCACATAGGGTGTCTCAATTAGAGTTTGTGAACAGAGTTTCAAATAAAAATGTAAAAAAACTGTGAGATTGGCATTTAATTCACTTTTTATCACCAAAAAAGTAAGTATTCATTTTTCTTTCAACTTAAAATTTCTCACTACTGACAAAAACAAACAAGCAAACAGATAATAAATAAAAAATCACAAATGCCAAAAATGAAAGCACAAAATTTGGTTTAGGTGGGCTCATTTCAACTGAAAAGGCACTCAATGTGCCCTCCATTCTATTAAACACAGACCTCTAGTCTGGGACATGACACAACAGATTAATGGCTTGGTCTATAAATCTTTGAGGTTGTGCCTCCAAAACTTTCTCTATAGCAGCAGCTAACAAACTGTGGGTCACGAGAGGCATCAAGGTGGGTCATGTACACTTTTCCAGTATAAAAAATCACTATATCTGCATCCACTCAGGAAAAAATATGCCCTTCAGAAAAGGGCAATCAGTTTTCTTCACATCATAATTATTTTCAAAATACCTCATTCTGGCTTCCGGTGGGTCATGAAATTTTTGTACATCAGCAAGTGGGTCACTATTTAACACGTTGGCAACAATGCGTCCTGATGCCAGGATGCAGATTTTTTTTCAATGAATACCAATCAGGATTTTGCATTCTTTCATTTAATTAACATGTAGAAGAGCATTTTTTATCCCAGTTTCTGGAAACTTTTTATTTTCTTTGATTTTTTTGAATAATTTCTGNAATTCAACATTTAAAAAAAACTCGGCAAAAAAAAATGTTTTCCGGGACCATGCGTCCTGATGGCAGGACGCATTTTTTGACAAAAAAAATGCGTGTGGTCCCACGCGGCGGACAAGCAAAAATAGGCTGGTCGTCAACGTGTTAAAGAAGTCTGGGAACTACTGCTCTATAGCATCATGGATGGAAGGTCATGAATTCAGTCCTCCCTTTCATCCCAGCCTCAAGTTCATAATGATTTTTTTGACAGCACATTTTGTTGTGGGTCATTAGAAAATAATGACAGCTTCTATCATTTTAGAGACAGAAGGTTGAAATTCGCCATAAAAACTCCAATTGCATCACCCTATAAGCCAACCAAATTTAATCAGGATCTGCAGCCAACAATGAGATTGACAGCTCATCCAAAATGACAGCTTTTAATTTTTTATGGCCCAACCTGTATATGTATGTCCAGGATGAACAGAAAGGACAAGTACCTCAGCTGCAGCTCATAGGGTGGCACCTGTTACACTACATATATGATATTGGGGCTATAATTAATGACACAACATACTATTTCGGATAAAAATTACGAAGTATTCCTTGCACCTGTTGGGCACTACAGGCACATTGACAAGATTTATGTAACACCAATGGTATATCAATTTTAATTATAGGCTCTAGTCATATGAGGACAGCTGCTTGTCCATGCTTAAAGCTAGGTTATAACAAGTTTAAACCTCTATACTCCCCAGAAACATGTTGACTCATATACAACTTTAAATTTAATATTACAGTTTGTCATTATGTCAATCTTGGAATACTCCATTCAGTTGCTTCAGATTTGAATCCAGTAAAGCTAGTAAAATATACTAGCCAAGGAAACTGGGATCATGGGGATAAATAGCTCACATACACTCTATATATTCTCTAGGAAGAAGGGGATGGATACAGAAAGGAGGCAAGGCCTTAAATATGATAAAAGGACTCACCTGCATTTTCTCATCATGACTAGATTGTATGATGCCAGGGTCAGTTTTCCATGATAGGATAAAGCAATACCAAAGCAGAAGAGATGCAGCCAAGAATGGGAAGCTTACACCCCATCCTACATGAGGGTGAATCCATCCTAACCATGTCACATACATCCATACCTGATTTTAAAAAATCATGTCACATCCATAAATAAGATCTCCTTACAGGTAAGATTTTTTGCTTTTGAATGATGGAATGATTACCTTGGTTGAAAGGTAGAGGGAGATAGGAAGGACATCTCCCATGCGAGAATCAAACAAAAAATGGAAAACTCCCCAAGCACAGAGGTATAAGAGGACAAATGCACCGAACTTCAACAAGTAATCCATATCCAATTCCAGGACTAGACCAACAGCATAATACAGAAGGAAAGGAGATATGGCCATACTCCAATATCGCACTCTCTGCAAGGGAAAAGTAAATTTAATCATACATTTTAAGTACCAGGCCAACCAAATATATGTTTAAAGGACTTTGGCAGATCAGACAAAAAGGACATGACAGATTTAGCACATACCTTATCACGAGTGCAGGATGAGATTCGATACGGATGGGGAGAATTAGCATGCTTTGTAATTCTCTCTTGGATGCCTGGGAGAGTAATGGCTTTGCTAAGGGAAAGACCTGTTTCTCCCTATTACCAAAAAAAGAGCAAAAATCAAAAGTTCTTCTGCTTTCATAAGTCATCTAACAGTAGAGAGAGCCTTGATAAATGAGAGAGTAACTGACCAAGTGATTGGGTATGTTGATGTCAGCTCCATGGTCAAGCAAGAGGCTGAGAGCCACTGTATTTTTGGATCGGAATGCCCAATGAAGAGGAGTGTTTCCGTGTATGTGATCCTGGGCACTCATATTTGCCCCAAATGTCAACAAAAGCCTAGTGGGATCCAGACTAAAACAAAGAGTTGAACATGAAGTAGGAGTATGCAAGGCAACCATAAGTCAAAGGGCATTCAAATGAACAGAGTGGAGATGGGAGAAGTGAAACCTGCAGGTGCGAAGTGCACACCACATGAGAGGGGTCATCCCACTGCGATCTCTCAGATCCACATTTGTACCTTTGGCAACAAGGTAAGCTACAATAGCTGTATGGCCAAACTGAGCAGCCAGATGTATGCAGGAGAAGCCTTCACCATCCCTCAGTGTTGGATCTCCTCCATGTTTCATCAGGAGGACCACCATGGACAAGTGTCCTTGTCTATGGGGAAAAATTAGGTTAGACGGTTTTGGAGTATATCTGATTGAGCTGTCTGAGAACTTTGCAAGACTGTTCAGTCTTTTACTATATGATGAATATGATGAGCACTTTAGCTCAGATGATTTAATTTCATGAACATAGGATGTGCTTTTGACAGGAATTGGCTTGAGAAAATTCATGCATGATGACCTCCCTGAATCATAAAATAATACCAAATCTCAGTACTCTAGCAAATGCAGTTCTCTAGATATTCTGGCCTGAAGTTAGCCCCCTCCCAGGGGAAAAGTGATATCATGGATCAAATGGCCATTTTCAGCTCATATTGAGTTAGAAAGGTAATTTTGGACCATAATTAACCCTGTAACTGCCATTCTGGATCCAACAGACCCTGATACAACATTGTAGCCATTTTTGCAGGCTGCACCAAAAACTTGTTAAGTTCAATACTCTGTGTATTTTCATGAAGATGTGATAATAATTAGGCAAAGTATTTTGAAGGTATTCTTCAGGAATGAAGAGATGAAACAAAACATATGACCATCCAGGTTTTGGCTGTTTCAGGGTTAAAGTCAAGATTTTCCAATTGTCCAAAAGTGCATCATTTTAGGCCTACTGCCAAATGTTAGCCCTCCTATTTATCCTGGGTCTTTTCTTTGCTAAAATATAACATGAGATCTATTTACAGGCTTAAGCTTATCATAACATCCCTCTCTGTTTCAACCATAGAATTTCTGTTGCTTGTACAGTAAACCATTCAACTACAGGTTTAACATTTTTTTTTTCCCTTTTGGCTTATGTTCACTTGATGGCAACTGATTCCCAAAAAATTGCAACAACAAGGAGTTAAAAAACCATTTAATCCATGAAATTTTTATAGGGATTCATAGGGCAAGAGACAAATTCCAACATTGTCATGAAGTCCACCCTCAACATCACATAATTCAATAGAATAAAAGATCCAATCTGCCTTTTTTTTTTTTAACCAAATCAGTTGAAATTGGAATTTTGTTGAAAAGTGATGCATTGTTACATCTACCATAGCCATTGAGCTAAACATATATGACACAGGAGAATGTATGCCCTCTTGTGCAGCAATACACAGATGTTCAGTTTGGACTGCTGGTGAATTTTTATTCTGTAGATTCACTTGAAGACATGAAAATGTCTTCAAGAAGACATGACAGATTCACATGAAAATAGATTGCTGTCTATTGGAGAACAGAGGTGTCTTTGTTTACTATACCAAATTGAATGAGTATAATGACTCCTTGGTGTTGCTTTATTTAGGCAGTAACCACTGAGAGATAAGCAGTGCCATTCCAAGGTGGTAGGGATTAGAGGAGACTGGAATTGGCTCTAGTGGCTGAGCACATGTCAGCTCAGGGCTCCTGACATTTGTGAATATTAAGAAAGCAAGAAGGCAAGACACTGGAGAGTGATAGGATAACTAGAAAAAAAGTAATATATCTTGGAACAGAATTGTAGAATGCTGAATACAAGAGTAAGGGACAGGAGAGACATGAGGCATGAGAAACAGACCCTGAACATCTCATCCCCTTTTATTGGGGAGAAAGGTTTTCTTTTTGTCTTTGCCTTTTCTGGGAATCACAATTAAAGGAGAAAGTCTCCCATTTTCATGTGGACATTATGAAAAGAAGAGAAGAAAAAAAAGGGCCTGTCACCTGCCAAAGGGCACTTTTACTCTGTATCCTTCTCAAAGTATTATGGCAATATAAGATGAAGAACAATGTAAATGGTATGTTGGACAGAAAACAATGGATTTGAAATGGCTACATCTTTTTCAGCTGCATACTTAGATCTACAATGTGTTCCTTCAAGTCTGAAGTTTTCTATCCAGAGAGAAGATCTTGCCAATAGCTGTCAAACTTCATTGGTTCTAATGGCAAGTCAATAGGTGACAGTTTACATTTCCATGTCATGTATTTACATGAAAATATTTACCAATGATGAGAAAGTGGAGTATGTTCTGAGGTTTGCTAATTTTGAATCAGCAATTACAGGGTGTTCTGAAAGATTCTGACCCACCCAGACAAAATATGGCAAAATCCTAGGAATGCCATAGAACAAATGGAAGAATGGTCAGATGTAAATAAATTTCTTCTGCCTTTTGAACTTCAAACCTTTTGATTTTGCCTCATTGCCACCCAAAACTGGTGTCCTTGGCAGGTGAGGAAACCCATCCAAACATTGTTACCTTTTTATTCCCTCCTTTCTCCCAGTTTGCACAACCAATGTCATTTAATGGCAAAAATGACTGCATTCCTCCTTGAAAGAGTGTTATTTAGATGAAGGCATTAGGAAGCATGAAATGAATCAAGAAGGGAATAGGCATAGGTTAGAGTGAGAATGGGGGGAAAAACATAGGAGATTTGCATAAAAAAATATATACATTTATGCCCTCTTTTTTTCCTGTTTAAACCTTCAAAGCCACCACCAAAATCTTGGAATATTTTTAAATTTATTCTGGAACCAGGTTCTAAGCCAGTTACTAAGAAATCAGTCATTCCCTATTTTGCATCCAATGACACAAACTAAGGAGGAAAATACTGTTCCTACACCTCCCTAATGAAGAAAAGATGACAACAGGACAAACCTTGTAGCCCAGTGGAGTGGTGTTGAGTCAAGTTCCCCTCCAAGTGCATCCACAACAGATCCCCTTGATATGTAAAACCTACACACAACAGATAGTCATTATATCCTTTAACATCTTAATCACCATCAATTGTGTTGCAACAGCTGTTACACTTGTAGAATTTCTACAATGAAATGGAGTGGCACTTCTTCAAGGGGTGAAACTTTACATCAGATATATAGATCAGTATAAAGATATGAGAAATGGAATGGGCAGTAATTTAATGTGTAGTGACCCAATGTTGGCAGATATTTCACACTCTAAAACAAAATTGGTGGAAGGCAGGATGATGTACCAGCAAATTTAATCAAGTAGTAGTGTCACTTGAGATAGCAATAGTTTACAACCTCATGATGTAAAATAAGAGCATCTGACACTTTAAAAAACCAAAAACCACAGAGTTTGGCTATTTTTAATCATATAAAATAGACAATAAATTTTCATATCCTAAAAGTCAAAAGTACCGTATTTACTTGTGTATAAGATGCTTTTTTAAAAAATATTTATTTTATTGTGTTCGGTGAGGGAGTGCATCTTATACTCAAGGGAAAAAATTCTCTTTTTCAATAAAAAAAAATATATTCAGCATACCTATAACTCTTTGATCACTTATTGAGGCAGAACAGTCTGTAGTTAGTCAGAATAGGGGAAATATAATATAAAAATAATAAAACATTAAACAGGGAGTGGCTACGTTGATTTGCAGACTTCATTCAGTATCGGAATCAGAATATGAGGTGTCTTGCAGTTCGGAAAATTCATTTGTAGAGCTTTCATCCTCCCCTGAGGGGCCGTTCCAGAGACAATCATTTCTCATGAAAAATTTTGAGCTGCTGAGGTTTTCTAACGAGGAGAAAATTCAACTCACTTCATGAATAGCCTCCTCATGTTGCATTGAATTTTCTATGAGAGATCCCATTTGCTCCTGCAATTGTATGGGTTTGCGTCTACATCACTAGTTTTACACATAGACCATCCTTTCAAGGCCAAAAAGCAGCAAACAGCACCAGAACGAAGCGAAATGGTTATGCAGTATGCTTCATCAAGGATTTTACTACAGAAGTACGGACTCACACACATATTTGGCCACTTCCTTCTTGATTACTGGAAATGACCCCTTTTTCCCCATGAAAGACCACGAGATTCTTTAGAGCCCAGCTCAATTTCGCCTTCACCTCCATCCACTTCCGTATACAGCTTTCCTCAATGTCATACTTACGACCTATTGCACGGATTAACTCCTTCGCTTCCTGAATCACAATGATTTCTCTGCAGCTGTCTAACTTCGCTATACATTTCCATCCATTTTCACAGATGATAAAACAAACGTTAGGGATACTGAGGATACTGACTGACCCCCCTCAATAAAGGTTAGGACAGTGAATAAGAAACGAGATTCGACTGACCTCACGACCAGCTTTACCCCTCATTCACCTCCCTTGTCTGATACTTTTTGCTGTGAAATAGGGTGGTGTGCCTTATACATGGGGAATCTTTTTATACACAAATTAGGACCTCAAAAGCAGGGGTGCATCTTATACATGGTGGCGCACTATACTCAAGTAAATACGGTATCTTGGTTGTTCAGAAAAAAAATTCAAACTTCAGTAACAAAATTAAGCTTTCCCATGTATCAGGATATATAAGTATCAGCAATGCTTCACAGATATATCTTATTTGCAGCCAAAATTCATTTTCTTAATGGGTGCATTCTCTTTGCAGTGCTTTTGATAGTGCTAGGTCATTACATTGCAGCTAACAAAGAAAAGCATCACTGCAGTGAAAGTGTGCTTTACAGGGCTGGAGAGGGATGAAACCATACAGAACACAATCCATGATTTGAGTGAAACTCTGGCAACTCTACTCTCTCTTTAGTTCTACTACCCAAAACACTTAAACAAATTGAGGTCTTCCTTTCTTAGCAGTGGCCTGCAGACACAGCAGTCATGATTTCTACACAAAGAATGCAGCCATATACATTCGGCCCTCGTTTATCGCGGTTAATCAGTTCCAGACTCTACCGCGATAAGTGAATTTCCACGAAGTAGGATTCTTTATTTATAAATAGAATATTTTCATAGGTAGAGCATAGAAAACCTGTTTACGACCTTCTAAATACAGGTTTTAACATTATTAGAGCCCTCTAGACATGAAATAACACTCTTTAGTCACCATTACACATTACATAACACTCACAAGAGCAAAGATGCTTCCGATGCATAGCGATGTAGAAGCATGTGTTAGAGAAATGAACTTGTGTGAGGCTGAGCCAATCAGTGGTCAGGATGGGAAGAGGATAGGATAGCCATTCAGTGAACAGCATGCTCTGATTGGCTTGGTTTCACCACACCCGATTTTTTGGAAAAAAGTTCTTGCCCACACTGTTCCTCACCAGCTCGCCGACGTGGACCGCAACTTCCTAAACGCCCCCACGAGCTTATGTATCCGGGTGTCAGGTAACGTACAGTAATTTTTATTTTAATTGTAATACAGGGGTGTATAATTGACTTAGACAACCGAGCGCGCGCTGTATCATTTTCACTGTCTCGATCAACTTTTTAATGAATATATTTGAAAAAACCGCGATAGAGTGAAGCCGCGAAAGTCGAAGCGTGAAGTGGCGAGGGACGACTGTAAATATTTAGGCTTCATGGTACAAAAGGAGGAGAACCTTAGCAGTGCTGAAACTTTATTTAATGGGATTTTTCCAATTTTCCCCCAGAGTTTGAGGGACGATACCTCATTAACTGCAGACCCAATGAAGCAGATTCTTTTCTTGGAGTTGTTAAGATGGACTGCAATTGCTGAGAATTTTAATTGCAAAATCTGAGATGGTCAAGCACCCTGCCTGGTTGAGTTTGTATGGAATGACTCCCCTATTACAGGTATCATGCTTTGCCATATTGCTTGGCAATAGTCTTTCCACCTTGAGAGGCTTAGTATTCCACCTGCTGAGCTTGAGTCCATAACCCAGGGTTAAGAACCCTGGAGGATTGTTCTGCCTGCTTAAGCAATGACCCATCAAGCTTGGAAAAGTGGCTTCAAAATGAATGAAAGATAATTTTAAAAAGTGACAAAAGTAATGGTCTAGAGCAGGGGTTCTTAACCTGGGGTCCATGGACCCCCAGGTGGTCTGTGGGGTAGGTCCAGGAGGTCTGTGGAGGGTCCATGGAAAATTAAATATGTAACTGAAGGTAGATCCCCCCCCAAAAACATTTATAATTACAAATCCAGGTGTTCCAAAGTTTCTGATAACCGGGGGTGGAGGTCCATGGGTAATACTTGAGGATCTGGGGGATCCATAGGTGCAAAAAGGTCTAGAGGGTACCTCAGCTACAGTTTGACACACAAAGCTGTCATCTGAAATGTCAAATTAACTCCTTAGTTAATCCATTCAAGCACAAATTGCTCTGTCAGCCAGACTGATGGGGTTAACAGAGAAATGGTGATATTAGCAATAAAAATTGTGCCTGAAAAGGTTAAGGAGCATGCCTTGCTCTTTTCTACATTCATAAACCTGAAAACAGTTAAAAATAAAATTATATAGGAGACTTTTGCTCTCAAATGTCATCCCATTGAATTTTATGCATGTTTTTACCCACCCTTGTCCTTACACATCACTTTCATAACAAGTTCCTTTGCAGGTCTGTTGTATGAACACAAAACCTTTCCTTATGACTATTTGCATGCTTCAACAGTGTAAGCCATAGCATCTTAACACATTCACTGCCAGGGATTTAAAAAATGAAAATTGTCAACATACCTTCAGTAATGTTTAAGGGCATAGAATCTTGTATGCAACCCTTTTTATTGATAGGTTAGGAGATACTTGAATATCTCATGAAGAAATAAGGAACTATTAGGAAGACAGTGTGAAAATGGCCAATAGTCACGCAAGGCCCTGGCAAAACAGATTTGTGAAAATGGCTATAGCCATATATGGCAGCAATTGTGTTAAGATTACCTGAGGAATATGTGGGTACCCAATGCCACCTTGCTGGCATAAAAAAAAGGCACTCCACACAAGCACCTGAGATTATAAGGAACAGAGCAAAGCTGCATCCTTCCTATAGTCAATGATTGCAGTTGGTGTAATTACCACATGCATAACTATAGAATTGCATGCTATTACATTTATGACTTACAATGCGATGTCCAAGCGATTGTTGATAGCAGCCCAGTGGAGGAGAGTGATGTTTTCTGGATCCCGTTCATTGATATCATTTACTCCATCCTCTATCAACTTCACACATCTTTGATGAAATCCATGCTGCACATTCACAAAGACAAACAAGAGAAATGCAAGCGATAGTTATCTTGACATGCTCTACATTAAAATAAGTAATGTTACTAATTCCCCAAATGAACCTAGTCTTTCCATAGCATGAAAATCACAAAATGCAATATATTTTTCTGTCCAATTTAATTAGCATTGATTTCTTGAACAAAGCAAAACTCACAGGTTTTTCATTAATCAATTAGTTTGGATAAAACAGTGATCAAGACAAACACAAAGTACCTTCAACACAGTAAATGATTAATACAGCAATGTGAAAAGACAGAATTTTCCTTCTTTCATAGTCTCTGCAGCTGCCAAATATTGCAAAGAAATTTTAAATCTTTGTCCATTGCCTAAATTACTTCCTCTATAAACTTAACCCTTTTAGTGACACATTTCTGATCAAGAGACTTGATTGACTATATATACAAGGTGTTTGTATTTAAATGCAACATAGCATGCTGCCTGTTTGTGGAGTTTAGTGCATGCCCTATAGCTCACTGGGTTGCATATCTAGAAGGATGAAACCTATCACTGGTGTGCTTCCTTACAGCTAGGCAACCTGGTGGGCCTCATAGCATTCGCTGACATCCACCTAAGGGTGGCAAATTGTTCCCTATGTTGCATTTAAATACAAACACCCTGCATAGTTCTCATGGCACCAAAAGGGTTAATAAAAGGAATATATAAATATATATATATATATATATATATATATATATATATAAAATAAATAAATAAAATAAATCCTTCCACGGCACCTGCCGGTATTGGAGATATGAGGGGGGATGAACCACATCCCAGACCTCATACTCGTCTTAATTCTGAAGGACACGGCGAAGGATGCTGGCCGTGCCCAAGATTGCTGTACGCTGGAGGATATCCAGTGATATTTCACACTCCAGCTTCTTGACATGTCCTTTGAGGTCTTTCAGGACGACGCCAGTTGTGCCTATGATGATCGGAACTATGGTGGTCTTCATTCCGCACAACTGTTCCACTTCCACTTTCAGTTCGGAGTACTTCTCCAGCTTCTCCCTGGTCTTCTCTTGGAGGTTGTTATCGGCTGGGATGCTCAC